AGCGGTTCTATAAGTACACTTTAAGCCTGAAATAAATGTTTGATTACAAATTGAAGTCACAGAAATTCTGCGTTGCACCTTTGGCTTATTATAGGAAATTAACTACTTAGTTTATTAACGTATTTTGAATTAACGTGACTAACGCAAGTTTAAAATTGCCACATAAATGAGAAATATCTTTACAAAAAAGTTGATGCAACTGAAAACAGACTGAAGATCTTTTTGTGACACCAACAGGATCGAAATAAATAACAGTCAAGATAGGGTGGAGTTAGAGGAGTTAACAACGAAATGGGACATGAAATTCCTGGAAAAGATAGATTTAGATTTGAATGTGTGAAGTCATTTAATCCACATTCGGCAGGACTCGATTCAGAATTTTGCGTCAAAATAATAAAATTTAGTGCCTTGAAAATTAAAAAGCCACTTTCTTAAGGTCGTTTAATTTAACGCTACATGAAATTAGCACCACCAAAACAAACTTAAATGTTCGAAATTTGCATTAAATTTCAAGGAGCGTCTTGTAATAAAGTAAATAACCATCGGGGATTTCTAGATTACCACGAGTATTTATCTTATCTCCAGATCTTCTCCTGTCTTGCCGCCAGCAGGTACTATGAAACAAAAGTGCTCTCTTAAATAAAGTATATCTATGTATGCAATCAAGGACTTACATCCCTTTAGATATTTGAAATTCTCTTAAAATAGGCCCTTTGCAGGATCCGRTCACATGGTACRGAATTAATTACGCTGGGACGCAAGTTACGCAGTGGGACTTCCAAAACAAAGGAAAGTCGGGCTGGACTGGTACAAGTTCCTTTGTTTTGGAGGTCCCACTGCGTAACTTGCGTCCCAGCATAATTAATTCCGTACCATGTGACCGGATCGTGCAAAGGGTCTATTTGCACGAACCTTTAGGCGAGTGCAATTTGAAAGAATTTTCAGATATCACGAGTAGTGTCAATCCTTAATTGTTCGAACTTTCATACAATTAGTTATTTGATATATGACAGAGAAAATTATAAACGCCCGCTCGTTAATTTGCACTGCAGTGCAAATTAACGATAAAGTAGCCTCCTCTCAGCCAATCAAAATGAAGTAATTTTCTCAATCATATAATAAAGGCAGTGGTCCAGCTGCAGCTACAACCAATTACCTATCGTCACTGCCAAGTAAGTTTGCTAAATAGAAATTGGCAGGAAAACCCTTTAATAAAAGAGAGTCTTGAGTTGGAATTAAATGAAGTGAAAATGTTTCTCTGACGGTTGGTTTGTACTTCACCTACAAATGAATGACGCATACCACTTATGTCGCTATTGCTCTTGAATGTAATTGTCATTCTGAAGCGAAAATTAATTTGGCTT